TCCCTCCCTCCCTCCCTCTTTCTCTTTCTCTCCCCCTCCTCTCCCTTTCTTTCTGACAGGGTCTCACTTTGTCACCCAGTCTGGAGTTCAGCAGCAATGCAGTCATAGCTTACTGCAGTATTGGACTCCTGGACCCAAGTGATCCTCCTACCTGGGCCTTCTAAAGTGCTGAGATTACAGTGTGAGCCACTGAACCTGGCCTCCTGTCTTACATATCCATCCCTCACCCCTGCTTGGATTATGACTCCTGTGTCAGGTTGCACACGGGACCCCCTATCACTATTTGTGGCCCTGATGTCCCTTTCCTGATGTCTCTGGGAAGACCCTTCTCACTGTGCTTGGGCTGTGATACATGCTCTGGGCCACCACTTTGTCAATGGCACTCTGTACCCACACCTTGCTCTGCCCCATCTAATCTAGGACTGAATTCTTCAGAGTGGGAAGAAGATGTGTGTTCCCTGTTGCTTGAATGAAAACTTCAGTGATGGAATTGGTTTTCGTTTTATAATCGCAGTTTTATAGTTATAGTGAAATACACACACACACACATTTGTACTGTAGCAGTTCATGGGCATAGCTACAAAAGGAAATAATTTGAATAACATCCAAATATGAGGACTTTTGGGGGGATTTTTGTGACTGTTATAGGGTGCTGGAAAAGGCAGCAGAGGCTAGTTGTGTGGGTAGTAGGCAGCCTGCTCATCTGGAAGGGGCAGCAGCAGGATGTTGATGGAACGTATACCTATTCTGTCAGGCCATACCTGAGCTAGAGTTGCCTCAAAAAGCAATGGCAGGGGAATTCCCTTAAAGGACTTCTTCAAACTGCCTGGGGATGATGCCAGCTGTGGTTCCAAAGAAGCACTGAATGCCAGGGTAATCAGTCCGAAGCATTTATGGGGGAAACTTACAAAGAGCTACAGCAGTCCTCAGGACAGACAGTGAGAGAAAAGGATGTTTACGTAGTATTTCCACCATGGGAGGCTGAGTTGTGGAGTTTATATGGAGTGTTAAAAAATTTGACTTGGGTATGGGACTACTTTGTATGTGTTTAGCAATAGGGTTAATCTCTCAGTGTTTTCAAGCAACAAGCCAAACTCTTCATCGGTACCTGGTAATGTTAAGGCCCCAGTTTGGATTCATGCCTGTAGAGAAGACACACAGCTGGCTGGGTCACAAGGTAGTCAAGGCACTTTGTGTTTCTGGGTCAGGACATAGAAAGAAAGTGGGGGGAGTGAGGGGCCCTCCTGTACTCTCTGTGGGAAGGCACTGATTCTAGCTATCTACTCAGATGTCCAGGGTGCTGCAGAAGGATGCAGAGCAGGAGTCACAGATGAGAGCCGAGATCCAGGACATGAAGCAGGAGCTCTCCACGGTCAACATGATGGACGAGTTTGCCAGATATGCCAGGCTGGAGAGGAAAATCAACAAGATGACAGATAAGCTCAAAACCCATGGTACTGGTGTCAGTGGGACTGGAAAGCTTCATTTGTGCTGATAAATACAGACATCTTTAAATAAAGATTTGTAGAATATATTTGCTTCTTGATTATTCTAAATATTGATGGAAACTTTTAAGTTGTCTAAAGGTAGTCCAATATAATGGTTACTTTCTCCTTATTTGCTCTTAAACCTTTTCTTTCTAAACACAGAAACATCTAGGATCCTTTTAGATTTTCTTCATGGCCAGCTTGTTATTGTAGATTTTCATTTTCAAATTCACTTTTCTGAGAGAAGCCCAGAAAAAAGTCTTCCAGTGTATTCCCAGGGACTTTGTTTCACTCCATAGAAAATGCCCAGCAGTGTCCTTATCCGAGTTAGATGTCAAGGTGCAGTCTCCTGTGATGAAGACCATTTCGCAGGGCAGCCCATGTGCTGAGGGACCCTGGTAGTGTGTGCATGATGGGAGCCCTGTCTCTGGGCCTGGACAAGCTAAACTTCCACAAGGGTTCATGTACTGTGTAAACTGGGAAATAGGAAAATTCAGTCCTGTGGGTATACAGTAATGGCGTTATAAAAAGAATCTCTGATGTAGATGACTCATTTTAAGAGTTTTCAAATTAAAGCTATCCAATTCTCACAGTCTGAGTGGGATTCTAGTTTGAATAATGGCACAGTGAGGTGGAGGGTGACTGAAAAACATTCTTTTATATTTTCTAAATATATTAAACAATTGTTCCACTTATAATCAAAGTATTCTATAAAGAAAAATAACATTTTTGGGTACTTTAATATTTTCCTCCTTTTTCAGGACTTATATAATTGTTTTGTCCTGTTCTTCCTTTCAGTGAAAGCGCGGACAGCTCAGCTAGCCAAGATAAAATGGGTTATAAGTGTTGCCTTCTACATATTGCAAGTAAGTGCCATATAGTGTTACCTGGGGTCATTAGAGTCAGTTGTGACTGGCCTCCAGGGTGTGTGGCCTGCAGAATCCAGGGCTGGAATTGAGGCTTTTCCACTTAAAGCTGCTGTGCCATGTGGTTCTGCCACTGTGTACTGTAACTGTGAGCACTGTGAATTTATAAGTTAGACTAAAAGAAAGCCTTACTCGTGCTGAAAGTTAAAGATGGAGACTTGGCAAACGAGCTGTGGAGTAACCTCTTGGTTGAGCTTGGGTGCTGCCTTTATTCCAGTGCAGTCTTAGGGGCCTGGGGGTGAAGTGCGAAGCTTCTGTTGATGATGTGTTTTCTCAGATTGCTAGTCTTTATGGCCATTACTTGTTACCTGGTGCCCCTAAACAGTACTCTCTATCCTCCAGGGAGGAAGCCAATTTTTCTTATTGAAATTGGCTCCCAACCTTATCTGGAGGATTTTTACTTGTCTCACTTCGCATGGAGCTGTGTTTACTGTGTCTGCTGGCCTGTACGGCTGCAGACACCTGTAGGCGCTGCCTTCAGCCATCTCTGAGTTTAGTTACTTTGTGTGCTCTTTTCCAATATAAAGGATTCAAGCCAGCCTCCCCTAAAAACTTAGGTTTTGGGGGATATATTTAAGGAAATTGATTGTGACACATTGTCATTTGACATGAAGTAGGTTTCCCAGAGACACAGGAGCTAAGCCAGCTGTCCTCTCTTTTATCTGTTTATCTAAGTGGCATATTCAGACTAGGAAGGGGACAGAAGGCATCTGAAGGACTCCTGCTAGGGGAAGGATGAAAAATGCAGCATCAGTTTTCCGCCCACCACTAAGGCTCTGCATGTGTGCACTAACGCATGTGCATGGGAGGACTATTTTATCAAGGGTTCTTTTTTTTTTTTTTTTTAGAAAGCAGGATTTATTCAGGGGACAGTGGGAGAGGACCCGAAGGGGTTGGTCCATCAAGAATCTTAGAGGTAGAAGATGACTTTCATCACTAGTAAGCCATATTTAGTATATAGTGCCACTCCTCAAAGAAGATCATGAGAAAAGAACACCTGTATGATGGGAGATTGTGGTTAATTTATCAGCTCATTTAAATCATGTATAGACAGTATTCCTACTAAAATGGTAAAATGCCAGTTCACATCAGAAGGCTTGCCAGCTTGTCAGCAGTGTGTTCCTATGTCCTCATGAGCTCATCTTTTTTTTTTTTTTTTTTGAGTT